AAAACTTTTATATTTAAATTCGTAACTTTAACTTCTTTAAAAAGCGATATTAAATATTAATGTTTTTGCAAACAATGCTATTTTATAACGTGTATAACTGTTTTTACAATGTATTTTTGAAATGAATGAATATTTTTTGTTATGTTTTTATAGTATTTCATGTATTGTCTGACAAATTGAATAAATGAATGAATTGATAGGCATTCAAATGTAAAACTCTATGTGAATATATGGGGAACTTTATTTGCAAACTCCTTTGATTTTCACGCACTTGTCTAACAAAATAACGTTTAATTTCAACCTATTTTTAATACTTTTGTTAAGATTTAAACTTCAAAATTGTTGTAAAAGTTGTGTATTTTTTTTATTACAGACAATGAAACACGAGATTCAAGTTTAGTAAATAGTTTTTTCTTCAAAAAAGTGATTTTCTTTATATTTTCAAAAAGGATCCAAAGATAACATTAATTTAGTTAATATATATTTATACGCTTTTCTTGGATTACATTCATTTGATAGCATATCATAAAAAGTTTCAAAAAAGTTCTCAAAAGTATTTAGAGTGCCATTAATTCCACTAATTTATAACTTAAATAATAATAAAATTCCTCTAAAATAATACATATGAAAACGTGATTGAAATTATGTTTGACTTAAATATAGTAATCTGTTTATTATTTATGTATTAAAAATAAACTTTGTTTGCATTTATAATGTATTCAATATAATTTTAGAAACACAGAAAGAAAACTCTTTACATGTAATCTAAATAACGAAAGTTAGGAAACCATTAATTGTGCAAAAATTATATACGATATAAACGTTTTGATACAAACAATTGTAAGCCATTATACGAGATGTGTATCTCTATGTGTGTGAAGAGGAATGAAGGGATAATTGTTTTGTTTCAATGACCCAGAACTTGAATACCACTTCTATATTATATAATATTACTATAAATACCATACGTTTAACTCTTCACAACATTTATTGTCACTAAACAATACATCTCATAAAAGAGTGCGAATACATTTGCATATGAGATGATTGTATAATAAGTATGTGTAGAATCCAAATGCATGTATATATTTCTCAATACATATTTCTATCTCTCTTTATATGTGACCTGATTTTGTCTTCGCAGCCAAAAAAATCACTGAAAGTTTGAAAGTTGTATCTCATGTTGTTTTTAGACGAATGTCATTGCCTTATAAACTGTTATTTTCTTTTTTGGCTCTTTTTCTCTCTTCGTTTAAAACATTTCATATGAATTACAATTACCACTAAAAATGTGTTCAAAGATTAAGAGATTATTTAAATTAGACATGTTTTAAGAACTGAACGAGTTATTAATCAAGTAAAAAATACAAACTAACAAAACTTTCTAAATTTATTTCTAGGTATATATTTTTAAATGTGGTTTTAATTGGTTAAAAGGGTTTTTCTAAATTGAACACAACCTTAATAGATCCGCAAAAAATTGATTAAATTTACAACATTTAAAAAATATAATTTAATGAATCGCTGTTTTATCTTCTTTATATTTCAGGTATAAATTAAATCAAAACTTAAAGTTATTATTATTTGTGTTGAATTACGAGAACTCGAAAATACGATATAATCTGATTCTGTGTTCAAGTAATGCCTTTAAGGCTAATTAAGGTTGAGTTGAGGTCTACTTTTGTTGTCCAAAACAATTCATATATTAATGATATCCAAAAGTTAATCATTATATTTAATAATAAGGAAAACTTGGAAAATGCTTTACAATATTTGCCATTAATGTACAGCAAATGGTAATCAATGAACGTTGAAAACAGAGATTCCGGGCTTTAATCAAAGAACGATTTAATAAATAATATTTATTTAATATAACAAACAATTAATTCTAATGTTTTACTCGTTCACAGCTTAATATCCATTAAGACCTTAATATAAGTATACTGTAGTATAGTTTATATACAGTACAGTATTATATATAAAATGTTGTGCTTTTTGTTCTTCGTCTTCAATATTGAAGTTTATGTTTAAAGTTTCATAAAGTTTTCATAAGACAATCGAAGCAATGAGAAACTCATTTGCGACTAAACACTCAATTCATGCACTATTTTCTCCCTCTTAGGAGTCGTGTTATGTTAACAATTGAATAGAGGAGATAGTCTTCGGCTAAACTCCTAACTCTAACTTCTAGTCCTAACCACACCATACATACCATACCATTGCGATAATTGTGAACAATATTGTTACACAAGTGATGTCTAACTACTCTTCAATAGTTTTGCGCAAACAATAAGCCAATGAAAAGCGCTTTTGAAAACTGAAAGACATTTTTCTGTTGCACTGATTTTTATAGAAGAAGACTTTTTTCACACAACGTTTGCTAATTATGTCATATAAATAAAGTATAAAATGTTTGCCTCAAAATTCATTTCTAATCTATTGAATTGTGATTTAAAACTGATCTTTTTATTTGCGAAAAGCTTTTTACGTAAACATAAAAGACATTTGATTTATGTATTATTATTCACATAACTATTCTTATGAAAGAATTATTATTTTCATATTATATGTTATTATCTATTTTTTAGAGCTTTGAATCTTTGAAACTAGAAAAATCCTTTTTGGTCTCTATTTTATTTGAATTTTTGTTAAAATATTCAATTGTTTTATAAATAATTCAGTGAATTATTCTTCTTTAATAGAGATAATTGTCTAAAATAAAAATATCTGCAAATTGTTTGCCATAAAAATGCTAAACTAATGCCTTAAAACTTAGTACTAAAATATATATACAGTATATTTATATATTTGATTAGAAATAATATAATCCGATTGTGCGTTGATTTTATATAAGATATTTAAAACATTTTAAAACTTCTTTTTGGAAATTATTTTTGTTGAAATCAATATTTAGAGCTTATATTATCAGTCAAACGATATTTTCAGCCCAAAAAGAGCTCCACTTTTTTAAAATTAAATTTCTATTAATAAGTCATAATATTTGTGATTATCATTAATTTCAGTTAAAAGGCAAATATACACTAATTTTTTAATAATTTTTAGTTCATTAGCTTATGCTTAAAAATATATAAACGCTTTATATAACGTTATATTGAGATTGCATTACGTAATCAATTGGTTGTACAAGTAATGTGTTTTTTGTTGTAAATATTTTTCTAAATTACATAATGAATATTAAAATGAAATCGAGTGGAAATTTCATTTCACTACAAATTGCTATTTTTTGCAAATTTTTCAATCACTACCACTTTTCGTTACCGTTGTTTGTCGTCCGTTTTTTTTTGCTGTTTTTTAAAACCTATTTTTAAACCTTATATTTAGTGAAACGTCTCACTATTTGTAACATTAAAATTATAATAAATTATATATGGTATAAGAAAAACACTATTATCATGATATTTTTTAATAAAACATTTTTTATTTATTTTTATGTTATATACAGACATGAATGTAATAATACATTAGAAGAATATAATAATAAATTTATATATAAATTACAATTAAAATTCATTTCAATATAACCAGAAAAATAACTTTTAAACGAAGCAAAAGTTAATTAAAATAATAAAAACAATTTAATTATATTCTGAATATATTTAAATGTCTTAACAAATAGTTCTTTGTAGTCGTTTAGGATTTTAAAAAATATATCAAAATAGTTAAAACAAAACCAATTTTTTGTAATAATATATGAAAACAAAAGAGTTTTAAGCATTAATGGGAGTTAAGAGTGAAGAAGAAGAGAGAGAGAGAAGCGAGAGATAGAAAAAAGTTAACTAAAAATGAATTAATGAAACAAAAACAATATTTTATTGTTTAGCCAAACATTTGAAATCTCAGGCATTCATACGATTGAACGTAAATTTCAAATAACTGTAGGAATAGTCAGAAAAATGATAATTTTGTGAATAATTTCGCTGATCTTTAAAGCGAATCGAAGACACATTCATTTCATACAATATTTTTTGGTAATACTATTGACTTGTTTTAAAGAAGTCATTCAAGCATTGAGTTGTTGTTTGAGGCGAAATAAATCACCAAAAAATATATTTTGAGTTTAACTTTTATATGTGAGTGTTCTGTATATTGTCTTAACAATGGATTTTGAGTTGTTTTTTAGTACTTATTTACATATAATTCTCTAAAAACATTAATCGAAATTATCTTAATCGTAAAAATAACATATTTTAACGTTAATTATAACAACAAAAACGAGTGATTAGTATCCATATCCGTGTTTCATTGGGATCTTAACTTCTTTGTAGTGATGTTCGACTCTATTATCATTTAAATGCCAAACAAATGCCACACAAAAAATCGTAATACAATGAGAGGGGGAGAGAGAGAAATGCAATCAAAAAATTAATTATTTTGCAAAACGAAATATAAATTATTTGATGGAAGAGTTTTTTGTTTGTTTCGTAAAAGAGGTTTTTAAAGTGATTTAAAAATAGAGTGATTGAAGGGACTGAAGGGACAGGTGTATGGATATAGTGTGTGATGGCTATAATGGGATGAATATGTGTAGTGAATATACTCACAAAACTGGGACGTGTTTCTTCACAATATATGGTACTTCTTTGATCACTGGAATGATTTTGTGAACCGGTTTCGGGACGGGATACGGGACGTGCTTTACAACCGGCACCACCACTGGCTTCGGTACTTTGACGGGCACCGGCACCGGGTATGGTTTGGGCACCGGCACTGTTTTAGGCACATGTACTATATAAGGCTTCGGTACCTGTCATACAAACAACAAATCAAACAATTAATTCTACATTTAATAAAATTTTTAAGAAATATATTCATCAAAGAAGTATATATCACAATAATTTTTCATTTAAAACGTTGACTTTAGTTTGAACTCCTTCTCTCTCTCTCATTGTATTACGATTTTTTGTGTGGCATTTGTTTGG